TTGCTAACTATCTCCGGGCTTTCTTGTGTAGATCGAAATTTGGGAGCCAAGGGAAACCCTGTATATAATTTAAGTCGACTTGCAGGTGAGCATCGTGATTCACAGTGCAGCTACGGTGAAATTTGACGAACAGCTCAGGGATGCGGTTGAAATGAACGTCGTCGGTACTACTAGACTCGTCGCACTGTGTCACAAAATGCAAAAACTGATTGTAAGTAATATTCAAAAACTTAGCTCAACTTTTTTCTTTTGAACACTCACAGAAGTTTAGTATAATAGTAATAGAATTGCATCTGATGCTCTAGAACCATATGAAAGGAATGTCCCTATTGTCTTTTGAAAAACCAGGTCCACTTCATCACACTAACTGAAAACAAAGACAACCGGACCAAAAGGTCCACGCTGCTTCACTGGTTAGCTTGATGCAGGGGTGGGCCTGATATGGTCGAATATCGTTCAGGGCTTTTTGAATTCTTTCTTTTTGAGTATCTTTTTTCTGACAGTCAAATGTCCAGCGATTTTTGTGAATCATCGGTGATTCAAGGAGAGGATAGCTAATACTGAAAGAGGAAATTCAAAAATCTCGGCTACAGACAGGCAATACCGCATGCCTGTAGTCATTCTCAGAGGCAGGCAGCGGCTTCGTAGGAGTCGTGAATTCTTTCCCTCGACATTATCATCGTTCTCGATTCAACCTTGTTGGAGTTTTATAAGATCAAAGTTTGGTAGCGAATTACATAGCAATTATTCTCAGGTGATCAGACGACATAAGGACATCTCCTGATTCTTACATTAACTCTTTTCTTTCTGTATGTTCGTTACCCTCTTGTACACTGTACTTTATCGACCGATATAAAGGGCAACGAATTGTTCTTCAATGGCGTTATAGAAATATTCAAAAAAAAAGATGAGCTGGTTTTTGGTGCTCTGAACGTACTGCTATCGACCACCCAGAAACTGAGAACTTCTCGTGATAAAAATCATATATTTTCTGACTCGACAACAAAATCGCGATTTCCGGCTAAGATATATAAAAAGAAGCAGAATTCTTGCTATGCGCATCCCTTATCATTGCACATTCCATTCGACGAACAACCTTTGTCCGTTGCTCCTTGTTGGCGGAGAGCAACTGGGTACATCAGAGCAGTCAGAGCACCTAAGCACGCCTCTTATCGAATTTGCTTGGAACTTACCTCTATCAGTAGGAAAAATAATAATGGTCGATGTTTTTTCTTGGCAGAAATGATAAAGAACAAATTTGAAATCTTAAATCCTTGGGTCACGATCGACCAAGTCTGAGGGATGCGCCCCCGCACTCGACTTCCATTCGAAATCGTAGTGACGTATTGAATGCGTATGTGGCCTATACAATGACTTGCAGTGGCCAGCCAATGTACAAGTCAGTGCTTTTATCCTCTCAGCCGAGTCTAGTACCAATTCACGGACCCGTTGGGATGGAAGGCTTGCTTCGCCCGGGCGCATAACGATCTGGGATTTGAACCATGCCCATGCATGTGTGGTACTGCACCACTAGCCAATAAACCACTGTTAAGCATTTGGCAGAAAC